CCTGTAAACTGAGGGAGGAAAGTATTTTAAGGAGAGCGGTGTGATAACAGTGTCAAATGCTACTGAGAAGTCAAGTAAAGTAACAGCTGTGAAGTGGCCATTGGACTTAACAACAAGGGCATTGTGCTGACTTTGGTAAGAGCAGTTTCAGTGGAGCAGTGAGGAAGGGAAAGCCCAATTAGAGTATGTCCAATGAAGAATGAGAGGAGAGAAATTAGAAGCAATTATAATAAACAACTCTGAAGGAAATTTTAGTAAAGTAATGGAGATAAATAGGGCTAGCTGGAAGCAAAGGAGGGATGAAGCAAAGCTTTTTTAAAGGTGGGGGGGAAAATAGTAGCACTTTTTGTATGTTGACAGGAAAGATCCTGTAGAGAGACAAAAACCGAGAATTACTGAAGCTACATCTGAGTAGGCTAGGGTGGGTGGGAACTGGGACACGAGCACAGAGGTCAGCCCTGTTTAAGAGCACGAGCAACTCATTAACAGGAAAGTGTTTGAGTGGTAGCGTTAGGTGAAATTCTTTTTGATGGTTTCTATTTTTTTGTTTTCAGTGAGATAAAACACAAAGTTATTAACCAAGACTGAAGACATATTGAAATATTGAGGAATATGCAAGTCATCGAGGAATGCAGAAGAGTGAATAGGACTAGGAAGTATCATAAGATTGCTGGACAGGATTGAGAGTTCACTTGAGATTTGTAATGATGAATAGGTGAGACCAGTTTCACAGTTACGAGCTTCTCTATACACATTCAGCCACAGGAGTGCAGACACAGAGGACACCTACAGTAGAATTTAATTCTTTTTGTGATTTGATTAGACCAAAAGAGCGATTGACCATCTAAGACTGTAGGGAAATATGAGGAAGGGAGACACAATGAAAAGGTGGTAGGAATGCCTCCATGGGGCAAATGTCGGCAGTGAAATACCAGAGGTAGTGAGCTGGAAAAAGAGGATGCAGTGGTCGGAGAGTGAGATGTTTGAAGTTGAAACTGGTGGAATTACAAGTATTGGTAATGACAGCATGACTGATGTAAAGTGGACAACACAATCACTGGGGAGACCAAGGAACTGACATGCCAGGATACTAGTAAGATCATGTATGTGGATATTGAATTACTGAGAATTGTGACAAAAGGAGTATTGGAGAAAATGAACGTGAATCACCAGGAAAGTCTTCAAAGAATTAAGGGAGTGATCCAGGGAGTAGTAAGAACTGCTATGAGGAAATTGATCTGTATTATTACAAATACTTACAAACAGGGGTTTACAAGACCTCCTAAAAAAGAGAAGATGCCAACTGATTTTGATATTTCTTTAGGAATTTTTTTTCATTCCCAATGACCTAAGAAAATAAGATCTCATTTTGTAAAATGTACAAAGCCTCTATTCCGTTAGAGAACTGGAAGGAAACTCAACTTTGTGCTGCAATCGCTGCTGACTGAATTTGTCAGCCAGTAAAATGTTAAGGGGTAGCCTCCTCTCTAATATCAGCAGCAACTATGGCACTTCCTTGCCTTCCACGCCCCTCTGAGGTCTCGTGAGGATACAGAGTTGTGGCAGTGAATTTCAATTATCAAGATATCCAAATAAAGCCAACTTTTATATTTGATCTTTGTCTCTCATATATTCCAGTACGGAGAGGTGAGGACAGTAAAAGCTATTTCCTCTTGTGCTTTTTAAGCTGATAGGTTACATTTCTGAAAAACTATAATAGTTCCTTAAATAAATGTTGTTTACCATTAACATTTAATAATAAATTTAAAACCTTAATGTTTTCCTGTTACAGTGAGCAATTTCCTTTTGTGTTCTGGGACTTTCCCTGCTGCTCCACAAGGCTGACCACACTCACGTGTATCAGATGACCTGAATTTCCAGAGTTATTTGTGTAGTTCCTATACTCAAAGTTTCCAAGTACTATATAGTCATGTGTCACTTTAGGATGAGGATATGTTCTGAGAAATGCATTGTTAGGTGATTTCATCATTGTGCGAACATCATAGAATGCACTTACATAAACTTAGATGGTATAGCTTACTATACACCTAGGCTATATGATATTAATCTTATGCGACCTCTGTTGTGTATGTGGTCCGTTGTTGACTGAAACATTGTTATGCAGTGCATGCATGACTGTATATGCAGTGAATAGTTGTTTGTTTTTAATTTCAGGGGAAATATTCATTAAGGGACTACTTGAGATTTTTTACTCCAAAAGAGTGAAAAGAAGACCAATAAAGTAATTTATCAACTAGTAAGTCAAAATGTGGTGATCATAACAAGCACACAGAAGGTAAAGTAGACCATACTTCATATAAAACTGCTTTAACTGAACCTTAGTAGAAAAAAAGGGAGGAGAAGAAATGAAAGGAATAGAATAAAATGCAGAGAACCAAGAAAAGACAATAGGCATTAGAAAGGGAAGCATGTCTGAAAAATAAGAATTAGAATTTGTAAATTGTTCTAGGATTCTTAAATGGATGAAGATTTTACTTTTGTATTATAACTTCATATTTCCTTTATCTTCTTTCTAAGTTGACTTGATTCTAATGAACATACTCTGAAATAAAACTTCATTAGTTCATTATTGATCCAAATGCAAATTGGATCATACTTTTAAAAGAAATGTAGTTTTTTAATTTTAAAATATAGAAGAATTTGGATTAACTGCTCATTGGAAGGTCAGAGTTACAAGGGACTGTAGATATGATCTGGTCCAGTCCTCATATTTTTTCCATTAAGAATTAAAGACATTGAATGACCAGATTGGGTTCTGAGACTTGTGTCCCAAAGACTGTTCAGCTGCTTTCTCTCTCTTTAGGGTGACACAGCTAGTAGGGGCTAAATTGGCATGAGAAACTGGAGATTGGCATGAGGAACTCAGGAGATAGATTCCACATCTCCTGAGTTCCAGATTCCTTAAGACTGAGATGAAACCCTGGAAATAGAAGAGGTTTTAATGCAGATAAAACTCAGCCTATAAATTGAGAAATACTGACTGAGTCACACACCATAGATGAGACTGAACATCAGACCATTCAACATGAGCTTTTCTCAGATATCTTTTCATGTATGAATAATTAAATCTCATATCTAAGAACAACAAAATAAGTCTTCATCAAATTGAATGGACTCTTGAAGCTGATCAATGATCAAAAGCACTATCCTTCAAGAATCTCAATACGTTAGATTGATTTTCTTATCACTCAGTAAGGGTTTTTTAGGAACTAATGCACTAATTCTTGTATTTACTAAGTTAATATGTTTGGAATTTAAGATACGAAAAGTGCTTAACTCTACTTCCAGCACTTTGACATAGGACATATCCCATTAATATTAAAGGATGTGGAAGAATTTCCTGTCTTCAAGATATTTATGAATGGATTACATGGGGTTTATTGGGAGATTGACTGTCTAAATTATTGACCAAATAAAATCGATTTCTATCTTTCTCATTCACACACGCACACAAATATGCAGATGCACACACACACACACACATGCACACACCCTTATTTATTAACCCAAAATGTGTTTTATTATATTGGCAGATTTATCCAATAGTATATTCAAAACTATTTCCAGAAAGAGATTCTTGCAAAAAATAAAAATAACAAAATCAGGGAAACAAGAAATAAACAAATGGGACTACATCAAACTAAAAAACTTCTGCATGGCAAAGGAAGCCATCAACCAAACGAAAACACAACCCACCAATTGGGAGAAAATATTTGTAAATCATATATCTGATAAGGGGTTAATTTCCAAAATGCATAAAGAACTCATAGAACTCAACAACAAGCAATGAACAACCCTATGAAAAAATAGGCAGAGGATGTGAACATTTTTCCAAAGAAGATATACAGATGGCCAACAGGCACAAGAAAATATGTTCACATCACTAATTATTAAGGAAATTCAAAATCAAAACTATAATGAGATACCACCTCAAACCCATCAGATTGGCTATAATTAACAAGATAAGAACTAACAAGATTTGGACAGGATGTGGAGAAAAGGGAATCCTCATACATTGTTGGTGGGAATGCAAACTGGTGCAGGCTCTATGGAAAAGAGTATGGTGATTTCTCAAAAAATTAAAAATAGAAATACCATATGATCGACCTATACCACTTCTTGGTATTTATCCAAAGAACATGAAAGCACTAATTCAAAAAGATATATGCACCCCTTTGCTCCTCACAGCCTTATTCACAATAGCCAAGATTTGGAAGCAACTCAAGTTCCCATCAACAGAGGAATGCATGAAGAAGATGTGGTGTGTGTATATATATATATATATATATATGTATATATGTATATATATATATGTATATATACATATATACATATATATATAATGTATGAATGTATGAATTCTTTAAAGAATATATATATATATAATGGAATACTACACAGCCATAAAGAAACAAAATTATGCCATTTGCAACAACATGGATGGACTGTGAGGGTATTATGCCAAGTGAAATAAGTCAGGCAGAGAAAGACAAATATATGATTTCACACATATGTGAAAGATAAATAAACACATTGATAAGAAGAATATATTAGTGGTTACCAGAGGGGAAGGAAGTGGTGGGAGGACCAAAGGAGAAAAGGGGCACATGTATGGTAACAGATGGAAACTAGACTTTTGGTGGTGAACACAGTGCAGTCTATACAGAAGCTGAAATATAATAATGTACACCTGAAATTTACACAATGTTGTAAACCAATGTGACCTCAATAAAATAATTTTTTTAAAAAACCATGTGATCAAAGCAAACAAAACAAAACATACCTCCATACTGATTATCTAGATTCTAGAATATTAAAAATAACATAAATAGAATAATTATTCTTGGTACATATGAACTACTTTAATCATCTTCTTAACTACTTCTATCTCTAATAGTATGTCACTGATATTTTTTTTGAAGATTTTTTCCCCCAATATAGTCTCATTATTTTGAACTTTCATAAAATTGCCTGTATTCTTACTCAGAGTTTCATCTTATGGTTAATACATTCAAAAGTGTTGAGAATTGTAATTGACTCTTGTCTGTACAACACTTTTAATTGTGAAAATACTCTTTATGAGGTGTCTAGTAAGCTCAGAATTCAATACAGCAAATAGATGATATTTTCTGTTCTAATTTTTTTCTCATGGGAAACTGTAAATATTTAAGTCCAATAATTCTAGTACATCTTGAATTTTTGCTTCATTAAGAATAATTACTGGAAACATATTTTACCAAACAAAACTCATCAAGTAATTTGCCTTTATTTATTATTTTTATTGTTTAATCAAATTTATATGCTGCAAAATTGTAGACTTTCAAAACTTTGTTCCTTTTTGGTGCACAGTGTAAGTTTATTTTTAAAATGGTGCTTCATCAATAGTTTTTTTTAATCCCCAGAAATACATATATTCTCGAGCTTAATCATAGGATTTCAAAATTAAATGTCATATGATGTTTGAACTCTTAAAATTGAATTTGTTCACTTCTTCCATACTTTCATGGAAATAAATGTCAATACCTTCCTGTTTGCAAGCTCAGTTTTCAATAAGTGAGATTTGCTAACTGCACCAATAGCTGGAGTTTTGTTACTGTAATCATTGATATTTGCCTAAGGATTTCAAACTAGTGTTGGACAAAATGCAAACAAGCTTAGCTGACTTTATGAAATACTTTAATACTATTGGAGGGCACAGGCTGGTTCACACAATTGTTCTTCAAAGGCTCACACATTTCTAATCAGATGTCTGGTAGCAAAGTATACTGTCATGTTGATGTATCCTTTTGTCTTGAACATCATCTTCACAACAATTTTGTAGATAATTTACAATAACTATATAGGTAAAATATGTTTTAAATTCTAGCAATATACCTCTTTGAACACTATTATTAATTATATGTCTAACACAAACAATTTCAAGCAGTTTCTCTGCCATCAGTTTCTTAATCTAGAAAGAACATATTTATCACTACAATGTACTCCACCAAAATTTTTATTCATAGTATCACCACAAAACAAAAATAATTTTATCTTTAATATTAAACTTTTTAATTGACTCTGTAGTATCAGATGCTTCACAGTTGGTGGGATGGATTATTAAAAATTGCTTGCTTTGATTGTATGAATTGGATGAAAATATTGGTCTATTCTTGGTATTAGCTGATTTTTCCATTGGGAGCATCAGATGACACAGAGATAAAACTGGTTTTGTTTAACTGATTGCAAAGGCCTTCAGCTAATGAAGCCAACCCATTAACAGTTATTGCTTCACTTTCTGTTTGTGCACAAGAAAACTTGTAAAGCTTCAACAAGTGAAATGAACTTATGAGACTCTTTTAATCCAGATAAAGTCAAGTTTCAGGAAGTGCATATAACTTCTACAGTTGCAGGTGTTCAATTGTCACATGTGAGCACAGTCTTCTTATAACCAGTACAGTCTTTTGAAATAGATGCTGCTGCTTCTTCAACACATTTATTTATTCTGGTTTTCATATAATCAGTGATCTCAATAATCTTCTCCCCACCCTGTGAATAGCATAGGTTGATAAACATTTTATGCAAGTTATATATTTAGCATGAATTTTCTTGGAAAAATCCAACACCTAATTTATCATAAAATCCACATTTTTTTTTGACTTATGGATGCAAATTAGTAGCCTGATGATTTTGTTCTTGCAGACTATTGCATAGGCCAGGGTAAGGCTTCTTAGTGTGCCATGTGGCTGCCAGATACCACTGTTAGATGGTCTCCCAACATCTGCCCAGAAGGAATTAGCTGTCCTTAGACACTGATTGTCCTGGCACACATCATTTTACCAGCAAAGTAAAATGCCTGCTGTGTACTGTTTCTGAAAGGGAGAGGTTATTTTCATTTTGTCTGGATAGGGCCGAGCAGAGAGAACAGAAACACTTATATATGGACATCTTTCATATCTAACTTGGTGTTAAATTGAGAACTCTCTTCACTGCACATGCGTCTCTCACATTATTACAAGAGAACTTAGCAGAGCTGAAAGCATAAAATAGATGTCTACCAAACCTACTCCAGGATATCTTAACACTGCTATTAATAATACTTTATTAAAAATGAAATATCAGAGGCAAACATAAACAGGGCCCATGGCAACAATATTTTTTGATTCCTTCACTCCCCATCTCACTGATGCTTACCTAGTTTTTAAACTTTCAGACTTTTGTCAGGTTTGTAAATATATACAAAATAATCTCATGCCAAACTGATACTTTTCCTTTGGTGGCATATCTAAATAACCATGTTTATTTAAATCAGTATCACCTCTTTCTTTTAATTAAAATCTTCGCTAAAGAAACACTCTTCCCTTAAATCGTGCATCTTTTTTTGTGTATTTCTGAAACTCGAGGGGAGGGTCTAGAGAAGCTTTCTTTCACTCTAGATTGGTTATGGCCTCTGTACCTTATCACTGGCAGAACTTTAAAGAATACAGATTCTTTGGCACCACTTGAATCTCACTAAATCAGAATTCCAATGTTCCTACCAGGAATTTGCATTTTTAACAAGATCCTCAGATAATCCTGATGCATAAAGACAAAGACTGCTTCTTCCTGTTTCTGTAATGTAAATCTCTGCAAGTTAGAATTTTGGATTTATTGGTGCTAAAAGGGAGAACATACCCCCAAAATGAATTTATGATTGACAGATATTGGGGTGTCTGGAATGGTTGAAATTCTGGCTAAAGAGGTGTTAGAGCTGTGGAATTCCAAAAAAAAGACACAAGAATATCATCAGTTCTTGCTTATTTGCATCTTTTGCTAACAATTTTTTCTAATTGAGTCTTCGGGGATGGGAGAGTTTAATTTGCTACGCTACAGAGAAGGAATGGTGGCAGACTGGAGCGAGATTTGAAAAAATATTCTAACAATAGATAGAATATTGTCTGTTCAGTTTTCCTTTCATTGAGGCAGGATTAAGTAGAGCCCAGGCTGCTTCCATAGTGCTGCTAACAATCCTGACAGCAAAAATGCTTTAAGATTCTGAAAGCCAGACTAGCCTCTGTGTTTTCTATCTTTCCTTGGGATTCTGGAAGCTATGAATATGAAGAAATAGAAGAGTAGGCATAAAAAAGGGAGCTCATTTTCTAACTACTGTTGCTGTCCCTAATAAGTCACATTACTATACACCATAATGCAAACCATACCATAAAGAATTCCACTCAATGGTTCTATTGCAGATTCCACACTGAATGTTTGAATTATACCTCACCAGTAGAGTGAAATTTGAGAACCTCTAATAAACAATGATGCAAGCTGGCAATGTTAAATATACCGAGAGTTCCTATACTTCGGTGACTACCTGATTTTCAGATACACAATTACAGATCCACATTTTGCTGAATATCATGGCCATGATACGATTAGATTAAGCTTAACAAAAATAATTAGAAAGAATAAGATGAAGGGGAAGCAAATGGCACAATTAGACTAAAGTAATGGGCAATTCTATCAAATTAAATCAAGTACAGGTATGGGCTTCTTTTAGACAAACAGCAACCCTATAAAAAAACTTACCAGTCTCAGAAAGATTAGAAGTTCTGTAGTCATTCACCTAGTCAACCAATGCATCCTAACTACTTATCCTCTGAACTTTCTTGTGCACCTTGGAGCATCAAATTGAATAGGAATTGCTCTGAACTTAAACCGCTGAGCCTAGACTTCTAAAGATTTGCCTCGGACTTCTGACCTCATGGAAGGGACAAACATCATGGACTTTGATGTTGGCCTTCAGAGGTTTTAAATTTTCTTTTGGCCACTGATTATGTGTCATAGGCCTGAGCAAGCTTTTTAACCTCTCAGAATTCTTGTCTGTAAAAGAACACTTAATTAACAACACTTAATTCCCAGGATTTTAGAGACTTAAAATCTTTAGAGAGATTTTAGAGACTTTAGAGGCAAATGAAATAATGCTAATTGAGTACTACTCAATAAACAAAAGTGCCTTCCCTCTCTCTATCCTTCCTTATGGTAGATTAGCAAATCTGAGAATCTTCATAATTTTTTGCAAAGTCAGTTTGCATCTCTGCTTTAGAAGTGGTGAGTAATTGATGAGTCCTATCTATTTTTAGTGCTGTTCCTCCTGAGAGAATGAGAGAGTCAAAGTGCTTCCAGTCAAGAGTAAGCATAAATTACATGGCATTGCTCAAGATCAATTTAAAACATTAATAACAGTAATAAGATCTGTCATCATGTATTAGCGCTCCGCAAGAGAAACCTGGACTGGAAAATCAGCAAGGTTGAAGGTGAAAACTAAAGCACCCCAGTTAACACACACAGGCCGTGAGAATGCTACCTATCTGGGCATCACTTCCACTTTCAATGGCTTGGAAATTTGTAGCTTGAAAATGTCTGCATTTCTAAAAGAAAATCATTTATGATCATAGTAGGGGTAGCTGAGAGAGAAAAGAGAGATAGACAAATTTGAATTTACTTAAAGAAAATTAAACTTCACCATAAAACCATCTGTTATCATTTTTGAATTCTTTATTTCCATTATTAAACTCATTTTTAGCCCATTCCTATTAATTCACATACACTCAAGCATGTATACATATTTATATATGACTCATGGGGAAACCATTAAACTCTTCTGATGTACTAAAAACTTACCTAAAGATTTGTTCAACCTGTCTTTTCTTTGCCATTCTTAAAGGATGTAACCTGTAGACTGAAGAGTCTTTAGGATGTAGAATATGGGTATTTAGAATTTTTATGCTCTAAATATGGCAGTTTCAAGCCAGCAGAGGGCTCCCTACTTTAACATGATTCTATATACACAAAGTCTACCTAGAACTCTTGGTAAGAGATGAAAGTAGGGTGTAATATTTGTTATGGGCTTAAGTATTTGCTCCAACTCTTTGTTAAATTAAGACGTATAAAAAGACAAATCAAGCAACGGCAAGACCCTACTTCTGACGCTTGGGATATAATTTGCTAATTTTTCCATCATGCAAAATTCAATCTTCCTCTGCTTTTCCAGTGTGAAAAAGCAGATGTGCACTCTGCATTATGAGTCCACATAGACCCCCGCAGTCTGATTCTTTCAGTAGTTTCACAAAACTTTCCCTGTTCAAAGGTTAAATAACATATTTCTAAAATAAGGTTAATGAACTGATCAGTCTAACCCAGTGATAAATATAGGCAAATCTGATGAAGAACACGATTTATTGTTTTAGTGCTTATAACTTTCGTTACTTAAATTGTGACTTTAAATCTAATATTGGAAGAAGGGAAGAAAAAAAATCCAACTGTTTTCGGTCCTCCTACTTTGAACCTTGCCCTGCTTATCCTGTCAGTTCCCTCCTAATGAAACACTTGGCAGATTTTTACAGTTGCAAAGAATAACGTACACACAATGCCTGGGGCAATTTTATTTAGAGAGTTTTATTAACACCGTTGTGGCAATTTAAAATAAAACGGAATTACTACTTGCTCCTCAATCTGCTAAAACAAATTGGCCAAATTTATTAGACATATGTATCATAAATTAATCTGTTGAATAAATGAATTCTGACAAATTCAATTCATTTTCATTTCAGTGATGTCTTTTTCTGTAATGTAGCTCCTTAGGTTGCGTAGTTTTCAAAGGAAAATACAGCCTTAGGCAGATAACTAACGTAATACACTTTATGACAACAAATATATATCTAAGCACAATTTTAGTCAATAGCAAAGAAAATGTTGCTGTCAAATCAGCGCAAGTGAAATCTTCATTCTTTTCCCTGTTTTTAAGTTTTCTCCCTTCCTTTTCTTGTATCCATTGGCTTAGATGCAATCAGTGGATATAACATCATTATATTTGAAATCATATGTTTTAAACCCTAGAAATAAAGCGAAGTAAGTGCAGCTGAATTTAATTTATCAGAAAATAATAAACGTGGAAAGCAAGCAAGAGTAAATAAGCATATCTATCTTTCATTAAAGAAATAGTTCATATAATCATTGTGTAAGATAATTATGTTTCCATAGGCCGTAGTAATATATTGACATTGTGGATAACTGATTAAAGTAAGAGAATTGTGTACAAACTTGTTATTTCCAAGGGCCAGAGGCAAGTTGTTTTATGCTTCGTACTCCCCAGAAAGCAGTACAGATGGAAAAAAAAATCTGAAGAAATAAAACACAAAGAGGAAAAATAATTAAAATTGAATCAATACTTTTGTTCAACTGAGTTAAATATATCTTTCTAGAGGAAAATGAACATAAATATTTCAGGCAGTTAATCTATTCAAATTGATTCTAGCAGTTGTTTACTGATAGAATTTAGCCAACTCAGCTTAAATCACGCTATGTGAAACAGGAGTGGGAGTAAAAAGTTTTGTTTCTGTGTCTTTTTTTTCTATACCCACAAATCTAGGTCATTTCTAGGGATGTGGTTATGTAAGTCAGATATTGAATGAAACAGAACTTTCTTCTTGCATTTGGGCATACTGCATGTTGAATGTACTGTATTAAATGATCTCATTGTTTATATAGTTTAAGAAGCCTTTGGAAAAGGGGAAATGAAAAGCTTATTAAGGAATAATTCCTCTCTGAGGCAATGTGATCTAGCATATTATGAACTTCACTCAATATGAATTAAGTTCTAAACACTACTGCTGACTCACCTTCTGTCTTTTGATCTTAAAAGGTATAAAAAGGTAACTGTAAAATCCTCTTTAAAATTGAAGACATAAGTAAATCATAATAAGCAGCCATAAGAGTTCATTGAGTTTACTCATTTGGTTTCAAGTAACACCACGCATTGCCATTAAATCAACAAAAATTAACCAAATAAAACCCTTGATTTCTAATGATCCTAGTAAAAAGCATTATCCAGTCATCCTCATAGGAATTCAAGGTTGCAGAATTTTTAATTATGTATAATCCAAATATCACAATGCCACAACGCACATATCTTCTAATTCTCCTGAGGTAAAATCCAGGTACTAATCATAGTTTTTAACCATCAGAGCTTTCCTAAGCCAACCCTTCTCCCGACGCTTACCTGTGCACTAAAATTAAGCTATAGGATTGCTTTTATGATCTCCATTTTAGGTGTTATTAGTATGATGTTGTAAAAGAGCAATGCCCAAACAGCTGAGGTTATTGAGATCGCTAAACAAGAGTTTCTCCATATTTTTTTTATGGTGTAAACTTCCTCTCTAAACTATCAAAATATTACCAGTTGCCTCTCCCCAGGAAGAAGATCAATATTCCTGAAATATTCATAAATATATATAAAAGAGCACATTTAAGTAATAAGATGGAGTCATGGAGAACATTCTGGGGTGATAGACTGAGGTGAAGCTAGGGCCATTAACTGAGGCCAGACATTAATTCACAGAAAATACCTTGAACTGTGGTGATTTTGATATTAAAGCCTGAATATGAAAGAAACAACAAAAAAACAACCTCTCCTAAACATTGATATTTAGATTTTATGAGTAGAGTGTTCAGCTTCATATGAACCTTCTGGTTCTTTCTATCAGACCATTATCCTTCACATTTGCCAATCTGATCATTTTCTTCAAATCCATGCATTCCTTTCGGCCTATAACATCCCCAATATGAAAAAAATACTAAAAATAAAATCAACAGTTATATTGAAGCAGAAGTCAAGTATAATATTAACATTTTTGGAGTTGCCTCAGAAATCAAACACAATATATTTAAAGACTGATTTTGATTTTGTTTCTTTTGAAGGTAATTCAAGAAAAATGACCTCATGGGTTTTCTCACAATGGTGCCAAGTAAAATAATACCAAGATTTTGGAGTATTTGTGAAAGCCCTTAGATTGCACAATGAATTAAATTTCTCTATGAAGATGGTTTAAAGTTGACAGAGGGACAGCCGAGAAGACAACTTTAAAGTGGGACAGAGATGATAAATCTATAATATCTAGGCAAACAGTTTAATTTGGATCCATAATATTCATTGAGCAACTAATAGCACCTTGTGTTGTGTAAAGTACTGGAATCTGAATATATTTGGCAATAGAAGTATTTTTTGCTTTTGAATCTGGTGTCTAGGATCACAAGAATTATTTCCACAGGTGAAGGCTGGGCAAGATGATTTCAGTGAAACCTCTAAAACTGCATGTAAAATTTTGTGAGTATGTCATAATTCTCCTCTTCCCCACCCCCACCCACTAGACTACCCATACTTTCATCTGTGATCCTAGAAATATTAAGAACTTCTGATGTAACAAGAGAGTAAAAAAGATTACAATTCAGTTCATGTCTTTGTTGCTAATCCACCACTTCACAACTAAATCTTTTCACTTTTGAAACCATAATTCAAGTCCTATTTCCTTAAGGGCCCATTCCTAACTAAAACACAAGGATCTTTTCTTTTCCAAGTATCTAAAATGTGTTTAGCTTTTTAACAAAAAATACGATGTTTTACAATTTGCAGCTTTATTTTGTTTCTCTGTTTGTTTGTTTGTTTTCCAGGCCCCTATGTATTATTCCTCCAAAGAGATGGGAGAGAAAAGCTGACAAAGCATAGAGGTCAGAATCAGATTCAATATTAATACACAGTGAGACCCTTGCTTAGGCAAGGCATTGTCCTAGGTGCCTTTACTAGATTATGATGTTTAATTCTCGTGGCAAACCTTGGAGCATGGTATCCAGTTTGCTGATGAGGCAATGGAAACTCAGAATTTAGGTGGTTTACCAAGAAATCACAAAACTACTAAATATCAGTGCTGGGATGATGTTTTTCGTTTACTTAGTGCCCCCTAGAAAATTTAACTGCACATCCTGGGACGTCAGCTTAGTGAATATGAGCATCAATAGTGAATTCATTTCCTCTACTTTAGTAATCATCTGCACATGCCTGGTGATTTTTGAGTCAATAACTGCTAGGTTTCTGAGACCTTTTCACAATCAATATTTTACACATAACTCAAAGTTTTTATATATAATGAAATCCAGATTGGCACAGGATCATAGTATTTAAATACAATGAACATGTCCTTTTCAACATATGCATGACTGATATATTCACCTTGTTCCATTAGAAAGCACTTAAGTAGAAAAAAACAGGCTTGCTTTTATATTTTCAAATGTATGTGTGTGTATGTACAAATAAATATAATAGATCTAAATATACATTTCATATATAACTTTAAGCTAGAAAATGATTTAACATGGAATCAATATATAACCATTTGATTATTATAGTCATTCCATTTTAAATTTTTTCTTGGCCAACCTTTCTCTCGATCTTTTGTATTAAGCTGTTCATTTTAGTACTCCATAGTTGATCACATTAAGTGTATCATTTGAGATAACTATTCATTGACATATTTCTCAATCAACTACTCATTGAAGACAGGAGAATTACTACGTAGGCTAGTGTAAGAATAAATGGCAACCATAGTGGGTTTTTTGCAATACTCTTCTCTAATCTGTAGATGTGATGTTTCTGGATATGTACAAACTCAGCGAACACTTGTTTTATCCTAGGTCTGGGCAAGTCCCATGATTTTAACAGCTGTATTCAAAATATGAAACAGAGGAAGTTGACTCTTGGTGTCAAGCCCTCCTCCTGCTAACACATCATTAGTGGCCCTTGTCTTCAGGTTATTTCCTTGACTTTCCAGGGTCCTCAACTCTGATGCCTGAACTCTGTCCTGTACACTTCCTCCACTCATTTCTAAAAAGCTCATCAATTGGCAGGTGGCTAATCTGAGCCACTAATCAATACTAAAACGCCAGTGGGAACTGATGAGTCATTCTGCTGCTCTTCTCCATTACGTCTGTGTTTTAAGAGGCCTTATTAAAAATGTCTCTACATATGAGCAAATCAGGCATCTAATCCTAAAGGAGAGAGAATAGCATCAGAAGAGGTATTTGTGTGCATGTGGCATCTCCTCATACTGCTACTCCTCAAATTACAAAGTAAGTGGATTGTTCTTAAACCTTTGTACATCTCTCTCTCTGTTGGTTTGAATCTGCCTACTATATTTATTAATAAATGACCTGATGAGCAAAGAAAAACAATTATCACCTTGAGCAGTGGACAATTTCCATTAGAACTAGCTAGCAACATCCCATACTTCTAAAATCATTTAACCTTTAGATAAACTTGCAAATAAAATGAGAGCTTTAAAATACCTGAAAAATTACCCACAAGAGAAATAAAATCTCTGAAATAGCTGAAATTTATTTTGATTCCCAAACACGTATTTATTGTTACAAATACTGAACTAGAAAACACTCACTGAGCTATAATATCTCATTCTATGCCTATTCACAGCGGCAGTGTAATTATGTACACTAAATCACTAAAAAGTTGAACGAAAAAGTTAGAAAAGCTAAGTCATTTTGTAATTGATGGGTAAAGCTGTTTGCTAAATTCTACCTTGCCAAGGAAGAAACCTGAGATATTGTAAACATGAAATAGCATTTTTTGTGGCGATTTGAAACTTAATCACTTTCAAATAATTAAAAATGTACATATTACCATTTACTCCATTGTGTAAATTTTCAGGCAAATTTAGACTTCTGGGTTGATTTCCTAAAATTCTCCTGGAACGGATGTCTCTATTTTGTATCTCTAACAAATCATACCCTGCCTATAAATGGAGGAGTATATTTTTACCTAAACATTATTTCTCTGACATTGATGAGGTTCATAAAATACCAGTTAACTGGCTATTTAACACATCTATAACAACCACAACAGTAACAGTTTGTTTTAAGGGAAACACATAAAACATACAGAAAGTTTTACTAAATTATTTGGAGAAAAATAAAACCAATTCTTTGTTAAATATACTCTATAACTCAGTACTTTCTTTGTTAAGAGATGACTATTGTTTACTGTACAATGAACTTAAACAGAGATCAAACCTGAATTGCTCCAAAATATCTATATTTCCTACTAAAGCCAGAGAAAAAAATAAACACAAACTGAACTAGAGTAGAAATTAAAGCCAAATGTACTGATGGTCCTTCTGAAATGAAAACACCAGAAAGATATTAGGTAATGATATTTTTTTTTCCTAGAATTTTGCAAGAACACAATTTGACAAACGTCAACTCAGAAGAAATTAAGACTTACTGATTTTATTTCCAGTGTATTCTATATATTACCCAAATACTAGGATCCATATACA